GCTCCATTGTATGTTCTTGCCTCCTTTGTCAAATATTAATTGAGCATATTGGTTAGGGCCGATTTCTGGGCTCTCTATTCTATTCCATTGATCTATATGCCTGTTCTTGTGCCAGTACCAGGCAGTTTTGAGAACAGTGGCTTTGTAATACAACTTGATATCTGGTATTGAGATCCCACCTACCTTGTTCTTTTTCAGGATTGCTGCAGCTATTCGGGGTGTTTTTTTATTCCAGATGAATTTTTGGAGAGTTCGTTCTAGATCTCTGAAGTATGCCGTTGGTATTTTAATGCGTTTTCCCTGTTCTTGATGATGTTGTGTGTATTAATGTATCTTTCCTTTTTATTGTGGAGTAGTATTCCATTCTATTAATATACTAAATTATTCATTTTTCTGTTGGTGGAATTTGGATTGAGTATAGTTTTGAGGTATTATGAATAAATCTGTTGTGAACGTTCTCATACAAGTCTTTTTGTGTCATGGAGTTTGAGTCATTTGAATGCACTGAGACAAATAAATGACTAGAATGTGTATAATATGAGATTAACTTAACTTCTTTTTGTTAAGTGCTTTGAAAAAAAATAAATCAGGTAGGGACCTAGAGCATGATGTAGCTTAATCTCTTCCTGATTGAAAAATATTTGAGAATGAACTAAAAAAGTAGAGAAGATAGATGACTAGGGCATAACTGGGTATTTCTGCCCAGGAGAAAGAAGAGAAAGTGCAGCATTCCTGAGGCAGGTGTGTGCTGGCATATTTCCGTGTGGGTGAGCAAGGTGCAGGAATACTGGCATCATGGAAGAAAGAGCAAGAAAAGAGTCAAGGATGTGAACAGTATTTATTTTTTCTTCACCAGAAAAGAAGATGAATGGATTCACCATGTTACAGTTGCCAGCAACAAAATAATTGCATTAAGTTTATTGAGTTCTGTCTTTTTCAGCACCTTGCTTATAGTCCATTGCATTTATTATTTTTTATAATTCTCACAATTCTAGGTGAGGTATTGGCACTTATCCCTACTTTGCAGATGAGAAAATTAAAGCTTAAGGAATTAAGTACATTAGCCTTTGTCAATATTTTTTTGTAAGTGGAGAAGTTGATCATGATTTTATATAACAGTACTTTTTTTTTTTTAAGTGAGCAGAGGGAAGAATTCTGGGCTGTCTGTCTTTCAGGGTCACATGTGGCATTTATTGGGCAAGTTATTTAACTTTTCTTACTATCAGTTTACTCCTCTGTCATATGGATGGTTTGCAATCTTGTGCTCCTTAAAGCCTGATGAGTCTCATCTGTGAGAGAGCATAAGAAGCCTGATTATCAAAGTGAAATAATATGGTGCCGTTAAATGTTAAGGGATACTTCACATACGGAATATTTTAACATACAGAGGAAGGTAATAAAGCTAGCAATAATGAAAAAATGTTGTATTTAATATTTTAAACTATTTGAAGTCACTGTGGAGGCTAAAATGTATATACATATTTTGGCTATTTCAGGCAAGTGGCAAAGATGTCTTTGGTAATCATATTTAGGTAAAACTGTTCACGGCAGTAAGATTTCTGTCTTGTTGCTCTTTCCTGTGGTTGGTTGATGGTACCAGCAATGTGTGCATCTATTTTCCTACTTTTCCTGCCTCATCTCATTTTCCACTTCATATCCTGTCTTTAAAAATTCTTCTGCTTAGGTAAGAGACTTTATATGAAGATTATCTAGTTCATAATGGAGATTGCTTTATAGCACACAATGGAAAATTTTGTAAGAAAATAGAAATTTTTAGAGGGAAAAATCTGACTATAAATTGACAACAGAATCATATCTTTTAGCCAAAATTTAGACCTGTAATATATGACTACAACTTTAAGCTCAGATTAAGAGACTCTATGAGGAAAACTGGATGTAGACAAACAGAATTAAATATTTTCTAAAATAATTATTTCAAGTAAATAAAAAATGGAAGACTTGGAAATGTTTTAACGGATAAAATGCATTAAGTTGTTCATTAGAATCTTTCTGCAAAAGATTTTCGCATTTAGAATTTATTACTATTAGCATACTTCTGTGTAAAATATTTATACTTAAGACATCATCCACAACATCAAAAGAGCAGAGTTGGAATATTTCATTATCAGTTGGATTTTTATTTGCATCTGGATTTGCTTTTGGATCCTCACAGAAGTGGTTTCTATTTGCTATCTTGAAATCCTTAAGGCTGATTTATGAGCTTAAACTCATTCGTTTAAATGAGTTTACAATGGCATGTATGGTGAGGGGTATTATTTAACATTTTCTGACATGCAAACTGCCTTGAATGTTTTTGAGGGGGAGAGGAGTTGTGACTTGGTGGGCAAGCCCATTTTCATTACTTTAATTGTGCGATTTATTAGAATTTCAAGCTTTTTATAAATGTTTTAGTGTTATAGGACAGAATTAAAAGGATTTAGCATAAAAGGAGTTTAACAAAAGGACTTTGCAACAGGATTGCAGTAGTTTTTATATTTGATGGATTTGGCTGACTGGTTTTTATTTCAATCACCATGCTGCATTCTGTTAAATGCTGTAGAACAGGTGTGTGTAACGTCATTCTTTCTATTGTACATGCAAATAAACACAATTTTATATATAAAAAGTTAATCCTCTACAATTTGGAGGATTACAGCATGGGAGAGTGATGACTCCATTAGGCATCATGGAGAGTACATGCTACTATTTATACTGCATGAAAAATCAGGTTAATAGCTACAGTGTTCATGAGATTGTAGAATTTTTATGCTAACACTTTAAAAATTGTATTTATTCAAACTATCCTCAATAAGATTATTTAGAGCAGAGTTAAGGTTTTGCTGTATAGTTTTCCCTCTCCTCTCCCTTCTCTATTAGGTGGCTGATCTTCTATAGAGTAAAGTTTGTGGTACTAATTGATCAGGTCAGCTCAGGTCAGCTAAACCAATGGAGTTCTTGAATTCAGGTTTGAGAAACCCAAAACAATCAAACCATTCTTGCCAGTATTATTTGCATTTTAAGGCCATGATGGTTCATTAGTCAACATGTCAAAGTGGTGTGTTGAATACAGGTACAAGCTGTGAAGACCTTGCCGACACCAGGAAGCAGAAGGAAAATAGGTATTGTTAAAGGTGGAGGTGAAATAGGTAGGAGTGAAGAGCTGGGCTTGTAGAGATGAAGTTCAGTCATAATTAATTTAGAACATAAATATTGTGGACTTTGGACCAGTTACTTTTTAACTCAAGCTTCGTTCAAGACATATTGTTAATTGTGAAATCTGATTTGTTTTGAAGTGGTAACAGCATACAATCCATAGTTATTAATGATTTTTAAAGACTTAAACACTGATTACTGTAGTTCCTAAAAAGTTTAAATAGTTATAAAGAACTTTATTAATAAACATTAATTATGTTTTTAGTTTGGTCTTTATCACATTCTGGTGTTGATAATAGAGTATGCCAAGGGATGATACAACTTGCCCTAACTTATTTTGTATAACTACTATATTTATAATTTAAAAGTATTTATATTATGTCATGTCACAGTCTAAATGTGTAACCATTAAGGTGCCTCCTCAGTATTAAAACCTTTTAATCTTTGGAGGAATCCATTGAAATGGAATATTACTGAGGAGACAGAAAATATTGTTTAAAAAGTGTTAAAGTTCCCTGTCTCTCCCAAATATCTTCATCTTAATTCCCTAAGAAATATATCCCTATTTTGAAATTGTTGTTTATCTTTGAGTTTATGCATTCCACACTTAATATAACACAGTATGTATGTATGTATCTAACCACACATACAACTCATTTCTACCTTTTCCAAAAATTTGTAGTAAAATTGTAAAAATTGCCTAACAAAATTTACCATCTCGACAAATTTTAACTGTACTGTTTTGTAGTACTAATACATTCACAGATCTCTAGAACTTTTTCTGCTTATAAAACTGCAACTTTGTACCCATTGAACAGCCCTCTCAATTTCTCCCTCCACCCCAGTCCTGGTAACAGCCTTTCACTTTCTCTTTCTATGAGTTTGACTACAAGCTTCACATAAGTGGAATAATAGAGTATTTGTCTTTTTTATCACTTATTTCACTTAGCATAATGTTCTCAAGATTCATCCATGTGTAGCCATGTGACAAGATCTCCTCCTTCTTCCCCTCCCTGCCTGGATTTAGATACATTTGCATTTCATGAGTTCATTTTTCTGCTGGTTGCTGCTATTATATTGGTTTCATGTCCTGTAATGTTGTTGAGTTCACTTATTATTTTTATCCTGCATGGGACATCCAGTATAGGGTTGAATGGGAGCAGTTACATTGGGCATCCTTGTGTTATTGCTGATTTTAATGGAAATGCTCTGAAGCATTACCAATGATACTTGTAGGTCTTTTGTAAATAATTATTATTGGGATAAGAAAATTTTTTGCTGCTTATTTTGTTATTATCATGACTACCTGTATAATTTAATTGAATGCTTTTTCTGCATCTGCTGAAACAATAGGATGAATATGTTAATTGGTTTTATAATGTAAAATTATTACTATTGGGTAAATCCGACTTGGTTATAAGATTTTACTTTTTCTAATACATTGATATTTAGTTTAATATTTTTAAAGGATATTTGCATTTATGTGTTTTGAGAATGGCCTATAATTTTATAATTTCCCTTTCCTGACTTACCTTTATTTAGTTTTGATATCAAGATCATACTACTCCTGGGTAGTTAGTTGGTAGAGTTGGGGGTGATTTTTTGAGCTCCTGGAGAATGTGTATAAGATTTAAATTTATGCCAATTAAAAGAAAATATATTTAATTTAAAAAAATAGTTATAGGTTTATTTATACATTTGCTAGAAACTAGTATATAAATTATATCAATTTATAATGAATGGTTTGATATCTCTTTGGCTGTAAATATTCTGAGAGCATGAAAATAATGGGCATTATGTAAGAATACTTCTCAAAATTTTGTTTTACATTTTATATTCCTTATCAGGTACTCAAAAGTGTGACAGCTTTGCAGAGAAAAGGCCCCTTCTTGGTGTTTGTAAGAGCACTGGATCTTCTGGGTAAGGAAATTTTAAAAATTCTTTGAACCATTTATTAAAAATTTATATTATGATTTCAGAGGGAAAACTTTGATGGCTCATTTTCCCAATGATTTTAAGATGACGACTGTATTTTCAGTTAGTACATCGCCTCAACTCGAACTCCTAACTGCAAGGAAAGCTAGGAAATGATACTAGTTTTGTTAGTAAGAAAGGTGATTAAAATGGGTATTCTGGGAGTCCCTGTCCCATGGTTTTAGCTCATAGCATACGCTTTAGATTATGGATGCAGTGGAGAAGGGAAGAATGTGTTAATAGTATAGCATGATTAGATTTTAGAGTCTTAATTGTGCTTTTTTTAGGGAAATGGTTTGCCTACATGTGTTATAAATGTAAATTTGGGGGTTGAACTTGGCACAGATTTACAGTGTACTTAGCACTATGTCAGGTATGGATAAAGATACAAAAGTATGAAAACCCAATTCCTTGTCCCAAACACTTAAGGATATAGCTGGGAAAAAAAGTATAGCACACAGAAAATAATTATGAAATAACTAGAGGCCCAGTGCATGAAAATCTGTGCACTCTGGGGTGGGGGTGGGGGGGCATCCCTCAGCCCGGCCTGTGCCTTCTCGCAGTCTGGGACGCCTCGGAGGATGTCCACTTGCCAGCTTAGGATCGCTCCCCAGGGGATCGGGCCTAAGCTGGCAGTCAGACATCCCTCTGGCAGCACGGAGAGTGGGCCTACGCTGCAATCGGACATCCTTAGTGCTGCTGAGTAGGCGAGAGAGGCTCCCGCCACTGCTGCTGTGCTGGTCAGCCATCAGCCAGTTCTTGTGGAAGTGCACTGACCACCAGGGGCAGCTCCTGCGTTGAGCGTCTGCCTTCTGGCGATCATTGCATGTCATAGCAACTGGTCATTCCCTGTCATTCCATTAGGATCAATTTGCCTATTACCCTTTTGTTATATAGGATGATGTATAAAAGGAATTCAGTGTAAGTAGAGATCAGTGTGTGTGTGGATTAAGTGGAGAAGGCCTCATGAAGAAGGTGCAGCTTGTGCTGGATCTAAAAGAATGGGAGGTTTGCCAATACATATAGAAGAGTAAGGACTTCCAAAGTAGTTATAAAGCTATAGCAATAGAACAGAAACTGGTATAAATACATTTAGGAATGATGGAAGTTTATGATTTAGGACTAAGGTTATCTACAAAACAGGCAGAAACAACCATTTCAGTACTCTGGAACTCAACCAGTGGTTTAAGTGGTAACAGTGGGAATCTGTAGCATTCATTCCTGGACCTGCTCTCCTCACACTCCACCCGTCCTCCTTCTAATTTGATTGATTCTTCAAGAGGAGGGAAGATCATGAGAAGGGCACTTTCCCTGCTGTTGTTGGAAGATGCACATTCAACTTGGAGCTGCAGGGGTTGCCAGCCTGGGAGCGTTGTCCATGGTACAGTTTGGTCTAGGGGGTGTATGACTTGTGAGGGCAGTGGCTTCATGTATGTGCAGAGGATCCATGAAAGGGTCCAGGGGGAATGAAAATCTCGGGAGACATGAAAATGTTCTGAATGTTGATTGTGCTCCCCTATCCACACATAGATTCTTTTGGAAAGGATGACAGCCTATGTTGACTTAGAGTATTCGAGCAAATTCTCTGTTGAATCATCAGCTAATACTAAGGTACATGGACAGATGGGTAACCCCAGGAAACCAGACTTAACAATAAAAGACTTAAAGTAAAACTTCACATTATGTAGGAAGACAGATGACAGAGATGTTATACCATATTATATAAAATTTTCAACATAAAATTATGACACATGCCAAGAAACAGGAAAATGTGATATATTGAAGAAACAAGGAAGTAGAAGCTGTTCCTGATGGTCTCCATGGTTAAATTCTACAGACAAGGATTTTTAAAGCAGCTGTTATAAGTATATTCTAAGAACTAAATGAGCCATGTGCCTAGAATTAAAAAGTATGATAACGATGATTCAACAAATAGGGGGTCTCAATAGAGAGTTAGAAACTATAGAAAAACCAAATGGAAATTCTGGTGTTGAAGAGATAGAAAAAATGAAATACTAAACTTTCTAGAGGAACTCAACACTATATTCAAGTCAGCAGAATAACCAGGGAACTGATGTGTTGATGAGGGAGCTGAAAGAGAATGGGAACCACAGAGGAGGATGAGCTACTGTGGTGACGGGAAACTCAATTGATTTCACTTTTCCTGATGTTTATTTAGCCCTCTGTAATTCAGGTGCAGGAAGGCCTGTGGAAGCCTTTCTAAAAGATGTTTGTGGAAGACACACAGCTACCTGATGAGTTTGGCTTGTAGTTTTTGAAAGATGTTCTGTTTCTTATCAATTCTGCTAGCTGTAAGATTAAGGAGATTGTTTTTATTTCTGTAGGATTCATTTATTGAGATATCACTTTATCAAAAAACTAGAGGCCTGGTGCATGAATTCATGCACGGGTGGGTTCCCTCGCCTGGCCAGCTATCGGGGCCAATCAGAGCCATTTCACCCAGTCCTGATTGGGGCTGATGGGGTTGGCTGGCCGGGGAGGGACCGCAGGAGGGCTCCAGGGTGTGTCCGGCCCGTCTCACCCAGTCTCAATCAGCCGGACCTCAGCAGCAAGCTAACCTGCCTATTGGAGTGTCTGCCCCCTCGTGGTCATAGTGACTGGTCGAGTGGTCGACCGATTGGTTGGACACTTAGCATGTTAGACTTTTATATATGTAGACTAGAGGCTGGATGCACAAAATTCGTGCAAGGGGCTTGGCCCATCGCAGCCCTGGCTGCCTCACGGCCCTGGCTGCCTCGTGGCCCCCTGGCCCCGCCCACTGGTCATTCTGGAAGGTCGTTCTGCCATCTGGTCTAATGAGCACATTAGCTCTTTATTACATAGGATAAACTAGCATAGTGAGGGTAAGGTGATGATATATAGTTGGTGACGAGATAATTTACTGAATGATGAATTTGTTGGTATGTGGGTTATATTAGGGTTCTCCAGAGAACCAATGGGATGTGAGAGGTAGGGGTGTGTGTGTGTGTGTGTGTGTGTGTGTGTGTGTGTGTAGAGTGAGAGTAAGAGATTCTAAGAAATTGGCTCACATAACTGTCAAGTCTGCTAAGCCCAAAACCTGGGAGAAGAATAGCAATCCTAACCTGGAGGCAGAATTCCCTGTTCCTCCAAGAAGGTGTCAAAAAAATTTATTATTAAAGCTTTCAACTGATTGGATGAGCCCCACTCACATGACAGAATAATATTTGACCAAATCTGGTTATTGTGGCTTTGCCAAGTTGACAAATAAAATTAATCTGCACAGGAGCAATGAATCTAGTCCTGATTAAAATAGCATTTAACTACTTGAAAAAATGTATTGTAGATATTCATTTTCTTTTAAAAAAATATATTTTATTGATTTTTTACAGAGAGAGAGGGAGAGGGATAGAGTGTTAGAAACATCAATGAGAGAGAAACATCAATTAGATGCCTACCTGCACACTCCCTACTGGGGATGTGCCCGCGACCAAGGTACATGCCCTTGACCGGAATTGAACCTGGGACCCTTCAGTCCACAGGCTGATGCTCTATCCACTGAGCCAAACCAGTTAGGGCGATATTCATTTTCTTTCTCCCATTTTTGCTCCTTAATTTATGTCATAGAAGGGGAATCATTCTGGCAATAGACTTCTCTAAGTCTGTATTACTTGGTGGGCTGTTTTAAATAATGATAGTTGATAAATAACATGGCAAGGAAACTTTTGAATTCATAAGTCACTTCATGCATTCCTCTAAGTCCTAGGGGAAGGTATCTTGTTACTACTGTATATGTATAAGCTCTCTATATTTTTTCTCTTTTGGTTTATACCTTTCTCTCTAATGCAAAAGGCTGCTGGAAAATACTTGTTTTGTTTTCACTTATTTGCTGAACTGATTATGTAGCATCTTTGTCAGAATGTTTACAGTCATAGGAAGGACATTTTCATAGAGGACTGTGTTCTGTTTCTTGTAAGTGTCATATTGCAATTGTGAATAGAATTTTCTCTCTAATCGGAGCAAGCGATCTGTGAGTATGTATATATTTTAAGTGTTATTCTAAGTGTTAGCAGTAGGTTGGCAGATGGTGATGTCAAATACACAAGACACTTTTCAGTAACTTTAAAGTTGACTGTAATAGTAGAGAAATCTAGTTATAGGGGAATTCTTTTAGAATCTGTTTCCCAATTCCTGGGATTAAAAAAAATGTTTTAACTCAGTCTTTTTTTTTTTTTTTTTAATCAGGCATGTATTTATTGACTTTGCTAATATAGCACAGGGACTGGAAGGCAAATGTTCAATGCCTGCTACGTACTAGGTCTGTTAAATATTTTCCATTATGTAACATCATTTAATCCAGAAACAAGCCTGCGAAAGAGATTGTATTATCCTCATTTTATACACGAGGAAACGGATGCTAAGGGAGGTTCAGAACCAGTTAGTTGTGGACCCAGGCCTTTGCCTCACTTTCCAGTCTCCAGATTTTGAGAAAAGTTCTAAATCTGAGGATCCATATATACTGAGACAGGTTGTTGACATCTGCAAAACTAGTAAGACCTCCTTCCTCCTTTGGAGAGGTACAGGACATGCCATTTGCCATCTATTTCCCTGGCAAATGCTTAATTGAGTACCTGGTGCTTTAGACATTGTCAGTTGCTTATATTTACAGTTAACATTGCTTCTTAAATTATTCTTGGGTAAATACAAAAATTTTTTTGTAATACATTTTCATATTTATAAATTTATAGTGCTTTTTCAAGGAAGTGGGAGTTGCTATGGAAGTAATCCAAGTTCTTCCTCATATTTTATCCTTTAGCTATGAACATATTATGCTTTAGCCCACAATTTAAAAATAATACTGGCTGTAATTGCATTCATAATAGTGATGTGTTCTTTCTTTTGTGTGTGTATTTGTGTCTATCTGTGTATGTGTGTAAGAGGCACTTCCATAATCATTCCAGATAAGC